TCATGGCAGTGTGACTGTAAACAGACCTGAGATCAAAGATTGGGTCTCACCAAGTTTTAGGAGTGAGGAGGAGGAAAAACAGCAGGAGATACAGAGGAAGAGCAGCCATCCAGATGGGAATAGGACAGTCAGAATGATTTTCTGGGGTCCCGTGAAGGCAGGATTGTTATCTGTAGGGGCCAGGCTCCGTGTCTCACTGAGAAGCTCTGGTGCCTTCCAGGTTGTGCTCAAAGCCTAACTGGTGACAGTTAGGACTAAAAAACATTATTCTGACTCAGTGCAGAGTTATCTCCAACTTTCATAGTGCTTCTTTAGGAACAGATTTTATACTGAGAATCTCTGTCTTTTTTTTGGTAACAGTTTATTGGTGAGTTTGCTCTACAGCATGCTATATGTCAAACCTTTTAATGAGCTGCTCCTTTCTAACCCCCGTGGCCATCAGTTTCTGGGATGGAGGTATCTTGCAGAGTCCTGCAAGAAAAGTCAGAAACACAGGAAGTTGTACATAGCTTCTTCCTTCTTTAACTTCCTTTTTATGTTCTCCGTTTATCATTTTGGGTCTCTTACCATTCCAACCTCAGAACAAAGCTTAGGGTGGAGCTGGAGTGCACAGGTAATTTTCTAGAGCTAAAACTTCCTTCCTCACTTACTTAACCAGGGAACACCACTGCCAGATTGTGAGATGGATGTCTGATGTTTCAGCCCTTGGCCCATACCACAGACACCAGTCATCAGCATCCGCTCTGGCAGAGGGTCCGGTCTGTCCCTCTCCATCTGGTTTCACGTTTTCTCTCATATACACACATGCACACATGCAGAGAATATATATATATTTGCTACTATATCTTTATTTATTGCTTAAATGGCAATACTTAAAGTGGCCCCACTTTGTAACTCTCTTTGGGATATTGTCAGCTTTGCTGCACGGGTAGCCTCAGGTATGGAAGGAAACGGGCTTGGTGCCGGTCTTTATCTCTGTCCTTTGAGCTGCTCCTATGAGGACCCATTTCTTCTAACTTTCCCATCTGGACAGTCTCAGCACATGGTTTTGCTTTTTAAAATCCTAAACTTTGTTCTTTTCTTTTTCTTTTTGGTGGAACCGGGGAATAAACTCAGGCTTCATTCCCCTCGTGCTTGCCAGGCAAGTGCTTATTCTACTGAGCTATCTCCCTGGCCCTGTTCTTATCTTAATAGATAGGACTTTGGCCATTCTCTGTATCAGCTGCTCCACAGTCTACAATCCCATTCCGTCCTCTGGCTTCCTGGCACCCCCACACCCCTTCTTATAATGTGGACTCTGTCCTCTGAGCTCCCCTGCTTCCTCTGGGCCACTGTGGCCTTTCTAGTCCACTGTGCTCACTGGCTTGCCGTGCCTTACCAGGTACCACGTGCCAAACCCAGGCATAGGTCTACTATCCACAGGGGACAGGTCTGACTCAGCCCTGGGTGTACTTTCAATTAGGATCAGTTAGTTTATCCTGTAGCAAGCTAGCAGCACTCGGCTCCTGCAAAGCCTCTGAGAAGGTCTTCACGAAGCCTGCAATGACTCATACGGTGTGATCTAATCAAGTTTTGTTTTGTCAGCTTTATCATTCTAGTAGACATATTGGGGCTTATGACAAAATACTTACAAAAGCCAGGTATTTAAAAGTCTTCTGTGAATTTAAGATAATGGGAGGGTGTTGTGAAAGTACTGTAATTGGCCTTAAGGAAATACAAATTTATGATAATTTAATGAAGGGGTGAGAAATTTTTTTTTCTGTAA